TAGAAAATGGCGTTTGAGCATTTCTAAAAATGACGAATTTTCAGCTCAATTTTTACTGAAAACTGTTGAATTTTCTAAAAACTTAATCAGACAATCATTTTAAACACATGTACTTATTTCACATGCACACGTTTCTGCAATAATGTAAACAAATCGCCACGTACTTAAATCGTACTATAATGACCCAAACGAGATTTAAAAATAATTTCATTTGTGTAATTTTTGAAAATGTCAACTAACCGTTCGGACAAGGAAATTAGAATAACAATGTTATCATGAAAAAAAATTGGAATCTTTTCTTTTGTACTTTTAGACAAACAAACTAGTCTAAAAATCAAAAAGCTAATAATGGATTCGTGTGTTTTGCCGGTATTACTATATGAATCTCAAACGTGGTCTTTAACAATAGCACACAAAAGATTGCTGCAACGCTGTCAACGTAAAATGGAAAGGAAGATATTACATGTTTCGCTAAAAAATAGAATACGCAATACAGACATAAGAACAAAAACAAACATCAAATATGCAATTTTTCAAACCGATGTCGAAAATAAAGATGGGGAGTCACGTCCTGAAGCAAAAGCAATCAAGGTGAGCGTACTAACCATCTGGGACCCAGTATTTGGAGGGAGGAATCCAGGCAGACCACAAACCAGATGGGACGACAGCCTATGAAAAGCAGCAGTTCCACTTTGGTTAGGCTGGCACTAGACAAAAGCGTATGGAGGCCGCAGGAACGGGATGTGTGCAGTGTTTCTCATTAACTATATTGTACATACAATTAGGGAAGTGTTTCCTTGTATTTAATCATATGTATATAGAACTACCTGTGAAGTGTTTTAATGTTTGTTATATCTATTGTATTGTAACGAATATTGCATCACTGCCGGATTTGCTGCGCGCAGATTGCGCCATCTGCCGGCGCCCCTTCCCTTCCCCCGAACTGGATAGTTCCGGACTATTCACGAGTCGCGGGGAAAGGTGGAGAATGTGCTGGTTGTATCGAGACGAGCTCCGACCAGGTATAAATGCGCCGCTGCCGGCGGCCGCGAGTCAGTAAGGAGTAGCAGTCAAGTCTGTCAGTGTAAGTCGGTGTGTGGATGGCTGTGTAAGCCAGGGTATCTAGTAGTCGGAAGTAAGCAGCCGCGGATCAGTTAGTGTCAGGGCCGGATTTAAGTAGTGCGGGGCCCCAAGCACAAAATTGTGTTGCCCCCCTTCGAAAAAATAGCTCCATCTTTATTAAATAAAAAATGTATAATAGTACAAATACTTTCTGTACAGATACAAATGAAAACTGATAATTTTATAGAAAGTTTTACTTGTGTTACATTTTTTTTACATTAAATACGTTTTAGATATTTTTTCTGCTCTTCACTGCAAATTTTGAGGTTTACATAAACTTTCAATTCAATTTATAAGTAAAGAAAATAAAGTATAGTTAATATATAGACTAATTTAACATGTAATAAGATTTTTTTAAATTTTTTGAAATTGTACATTTGTTACATCATAGGACTACTTGATTAACAATTATTTCACAGACAAAAATATATGGTATGCGTATTTTTCCTAAACGGGGGCCCCTGGTGAATGGGGGCCCCCAAGCAACTGCTTGTTAGCTTGTAGGTAAATCCGGCCCTGGTTAGTGTATGTAATCAGTGCATATAAGCAGTCAGTCCTCAGTGTGTCTGAAGTGGAAGCTGTGCTGTAAAGTGGTGCATTGTAGTGATCAGTGATGCAGTGGGTGACACAAGTGTGATCTGCGCAGGGAATTGTGGTCAGCGCAGTGGACTATGTGATACTGTAAAAATGATTCAGTGATAAATACAAGGAAAACGGAGTCGTGTGTAAGAAAAAATAAGTAGTAACACCAAGGACTGCGTAATATACCTGTATATAGATCAAGTAGTTTTTAGTGTTAGTAGTTTTAGTGTATAATTATTGTTACAAATAAACGTTATTGTTAAATTTTACCTGAATGTGGTTTAATTCACCACCAGAAACGTTACAGTATGTTGGTCCTAATTAAAACTAGAAAAAAAACAATTTGATTAAACCAGGGAAACTAACGAATATTTCACCCCGCGTGAAGCGGGAGGCTTGGTCCTAATGAATCCATGTAGGGCGTAGGCTACAATAATAAATAAAAATATATTTGGAAAACGAAAATAGAGCTGTAGGGCGTTTATGTCATCTTATGGGGTATATTTAGAGCTGTTCGCAAAATATTAAGAACAAATTAAGAACCTTTTTGAGAACATTTTGTTTGGTAATTTTTTAATATTTCACGCAATATTGCGCAAAACTACTAAAATTTCCGGGAATTGTAGGAAGTTACTGAAAAAATTATGCTTTTACAATTTTCGAAAATCCAAAGTTAACAAATCAGACCTATGCCAGCTTTATGTATATTTCACTCTATTCATATAAGAAATTTAACGAAACTAGTGGTGCTACAGAATTGCACAGACTTTCCCGTATTAGGTTTCTATTTCCTTTGGTCTCGGTAGTTATTATAACTTGCCTGATGTCATCTATCGCCGCCCAAAGTACATTTATTAAACATTTTCTTAATTTTTCGGTTTCCTAATAGAACAGAAATATTAATTTAAGAATATTAAACAACTTGGTATAACACTCCCACCCTTGTCGCATTTGCTATGTGGTGACGCGTTGACCAGTATAGACGTGCAGTTTCCCTCAGGCGGTCTCCGTCTGCCACCTGTGAATTGGCCGTTAGAGCAGGACATTCAGGGAGATGGGCTGCATTCATCTTTGGTTGGTTCCACAGTACACAGGAGTTGCTCTCAGAGACGCGTATGCGATGTAGGTGAGAGGTTATGTAGTCATGGCTTGTAGTAGTCTTGAAGGCAGCAACACCCATGGACCACTCCAGGTTTCAAGGGATAGGTGTCTCGATGAGTTTGACCCACTTCTTTCCTGTGCTGGTTTGCGTATGATGCGCTCTCATCCACGCATTGACGGCTCATTTAATGAAAGATTTAGCAGAATAGGAATGAGGGCTTGGAGGCTGGAGAAGGGTAGTGCCGTGCTTCGCCAGCTTGTCCGCCTTCTCGTTGTCATCCACCTCGACATGGCTCGAGAACCATTGCAGAGTAATTCGCCATCCTGTTTTCCAGCAAATTTGAGATTTTAGAGCGGCACTGGAAAGTTATGCAGCAGTCTGTATAGTGGTTTTTAGAGAGTGCTGCATGGCTGTCCATAAAGAAAACAGACTTGTGTGGAGATCAGGCGCTCCATGTGTTTGATAGCTTCAAGTACTGCCGCGTCTCCGTCGCAGTTGGTTAGAGGGCCCCTACGGCCACAGATCCCGGGAGGGCAGTCGAGTTATATCCCGCTCCCGTTCTTCTAGAGCTTGGCATGAAGAAGCCGTCGCAGTAAATGTGGAGCCATTCTTGAACTGGGTCCTTTGTGTGTATCGTCTCAAAATCGCATTTTCTAGGGATGACGTTGCAGGATAGATGCTTTGGGAAATTATGTTGCCCAAGATGAAGCTCCATAGTGAGTTGGAGGGGGACAAACCCAAGGCCCTGGGGGAAAGGCGCGGCATCATTCGGTAGGATATTATATTTCTTTTCAATCCGGTTGTGTGGTGGTTTGGGTCTTAAGAAGGGAGATTGCTTGGTTGAAGAACCAATTGATGCCCGATCGTCTCGTGCAGGGAGAATACTGCATATCTTGTCGTTATTAGTGTTTATAGACGTCGTAGATACATTTATTTGACGACGATGGGCGAATTATTTTGAACTTCACTGGCTAATGGGTAGTTTGTGATACGATTCGTTCACGCACGCAGTCAATCCCGAGAATGAGTTACTCGCGGTGCGGCCGACGCACTTTTCTGCGGAAATTGACGCTTCGCAGTTTCAAGTTGAGGTTGAGGCTCGGACCTCACGTTAACATAAAACTTGAGTCTGTACAACGCATTTTATGCAAGTACACCTTAAAAATAATTTGGGGTGTATAGTGTCTTAACAGGCTCAAGGAAAGTCTCCAATCTCATAGCGCAAAGCACTCAAAAACTTGAAGAGCGCCGTGCGCCTTTATTTGTTTGGTTATGCGTCGCCCGCGATTCTGCCCTCCCTCAGAATCGCAGGCATATATATATATATATATATATATATATATATATATATAAGCACATACGACACGTAATTAAACAAGTAATGGCGCTCGGCGCCCTTCGATTTTTAGATGCTTCGCGCTACGAGATTTTTTTTTTTAAGTAAACTTCGGCAACTCGGTAGTGACATCATCACAATTTTAAGCCTCTGATTGGATAACGAAACCCCTTCACCCTGTCAACCGGGAGCTGCCAAGGAGACAGAAGTATTATTCGCACTATGAAGTTTTAATCGAAGTATAGCATAGTGTCACTTTCTGCGGGAAAGTGAGTCCGCCACGCAGTCTCGCAAGTGTCCGCGCCGCGATATTCTGGAAATCGACAGGGCGCGTAAAAGAATCGTATCACAAACTGTATTTTTACTTGGAAATCATAAACGAGGTAACTATTACTCGCGCAACTTTTCTTGAACGATGACCTTGCTTCCCCCTCTTTGACACAATACACAGTTGAAGACCAAAGCTCGCAGCGTGCACTGATGACATTACAAACACATCTTCACTGGCGCGAAATATAAACTTTTCCGTTGAAGATGAGAACTTCTGACAGTAATTTTCTCCAAAAAATTTAAATAAATGACCAAAGCAGGTGAAGATTTATCACAGGAAATATCTCGAACTCCTGAGAAAATTAGAACGCAAATTATTGAGAAAGTTGCGAAGGCATGACTGGCTCTCCAGAGATTGGCATTGCTTCATAAAATCTAGGACATGGCAAAGGTATACTCTCTGATCTAGGGACTAAAACTCCCCTACTCTACCCACATTTCTTCAATCCATCGTTCAAGAAAAGTTGCGCGAGTAATAAAGTGGATTAATTCTCCCTATAACCCCGAGAATTTAATCCTTTTTCGCCACGGGACATCAAACTCTGTGAGGGGGATGATTCGTGGCATCCCATCAACAATTCGCACTCTAGCAACCGGTTAATTCGGGAATTGGCCAGATTCGAACTGTAGCCGTAATCCCCGCATCAAAATAATGACGCTGCTTCATAATTGAATTGGCTTTCTTGTTCCCGCCATTCACAAATTGTGACGTGTGGAGTTTAAAGGTTACTGTTCTTCGTAAACAAGGTGTTTGTGAAGGTCAAAGTAATATTACAAGTCATATTTTGCGATAGGTGCCTGATTGATCGCATCCGACACTGAGCCAATATCATAAACGGAAAGTAGTTTCACTATAATTCGAATTTAAATGATATAGAACGACGTTTCGAGACAAGTGTTTGTTTTCGTTGTCATCGACGGGCTCCAAATTCAGAAACGTCAACTATTTGTGTTCGTTTTATAGTAATAACAATTCCATAAACAGTCAAAATGACCCTTAGGTTCTATTACGATCTTCTTTCACAGCCATCGAGAGCACTGTATATATTTTTGAAAATGAATAAAATTCCTTTTGAAGATTGTAAGGTGAATTTAAGTCAAGGTAGTGTTATTTATTAAAATACTGTTCACATTGTTGCCACTTTTAAAATTATAACAAAATGTCTTTGGTACTTATGCAGTCTCAAAATATATGTTTATCTGTTCTCAAAGGGGAACACATGACAGACGAATATGCCAGAATAAATCCATTTCAGAAAGTACCTGCTATTATCGATGGCAATTTTCAACTTACTGAAAGGTATTAGTATTATTTTCAAATATTATATAATTATAATATCTGTAGTTGCATTTACAATTAAAACAAATTATTTTATTCCAAGCGTGGCAATATTACGTTACCTGAGTAGGGAAAAATCGGTGCCTGATTTCTGGTATCCAAAAGAAAGCAAAGCACAAGCAAAAGTAGATGAATACCTGGAATGGCAACATATAAACACAAGATTATCATGTGCAATGTATTTTCAGACAAAGGTAGGAGCATTTTTTCACTTTTAATAGTTACAGGATTCACTTGTTGAATGGCATTTTGATGTAGACTCGTGTCAAATGTATAAGCAATGTGAGAATATCTACTTATTTCATGGCTTGATCCACAATCTTGGTTTATTTACCTATATTCATTATGTGCATGTACACATTTTCAATAAGTTTTCATTTATATGTTCATTTTAAGTTTACTTCAAGAAATTGGTGAAGTTATACTCAAAATTTAATTTTATATAAGTATATTTAATTCTAGGTTATTAAATAAACAGGTCAGGAACATTCATACTAATGGCAGTGATACACATGTTTCTGTCCTATACTTCCTGTCTAGGTCTCTCTTCATAGTTTTCGCTTTGGTAAAGTACTGACTTGACATTTCTTTTTAAGCAGCTATGCAAATTTTTGGCCTGATAAGTTTATGAAGAATGAAATTTATAATTTTTTCTCTTGTAATCCTTGGAGAGTGGAATGTTTTACAAAAAAATTATTTTGTAGAATATAATGTGTATTTCCTTCACTGTCAGATAGCTTTTCCAAGAGACCCCACCCTCCTACTATAAATAATTTTGAAATCACATTTTTTTTATTTGTTAGCTTAAAATAAAAAGCCAATAATGAGGCTACTCCTCTGAACATGTGATCAATATGTAGTAACTGTTGTTAATAGATTGAGCATAATAACAAACAAATAAATGCATTGAGATAGTCATTCCCCATGACACTTCTCCTCGAGATCCACTTTCTAACTACTAACTAATCACTAGGTAAATTTCATGTAAACTCACACATACACAGATATCAAATGAGATATTGCAATGATGTTGTGAAAAACTCACTGCAAATACTACAAAAAACACTGAATATTTTCAAACAAACATCAGGTTATTTAACAAATTTCCTCCTAATATTTGGAAGCTAGAATTCAAAAGCTCTAATACAAATATGCTGGTCAAAAACTGTTTCAATAGTACTGAAAAATTTTTAAATTTCAATTTGTAAAATTTGTATTATAGGCCTGCCATATTTTCATTGACATATATAACCTAAAACTATCAGTACTTTGCCAAGTAGTAAGGTGACCATTTTCCATTTCCAATGAAAAGGGACGACAAATTTTAAGAATAAAGTACTATGTAAATAAATGAAACATTTTATTAATTCAAACAAAGCATCACTAAGTATGCTTATATTCCATTTAATTAAACAACTATATTTCCATTAAATTAATATTTTTTGTCAATATATAATTTTCTAACAGTATATTGGAAATTTCGAAGCAAGATATATCTTTCATATTGGATTTTACAGTATGTGCTGCAGCCAGGGTATCAACATTTAATTGTGATTTCTCACTTGATTAACGCATTAGTTTTAAACTATCGAAAAGGAGGGCACTTTTTGAGGAAGAACAGAACCTACAAAAGAACAACTGTTCTCCCCAAAGGAGAACATTTGGTCACCTTACAAATAGTTCTGTACTATATAGTTTTATCAATGTTGCAACAGAAGAGGGGGGTAGAGATTGTCACAATTAACAGCAGAAGTACTGAGGGAAGGGTAAACAGAATTTTGTCCATCTGTGGGATATGAGTTTATGAATATTGACTCCTATAATCAAATTCTGTTGTTAAAGGGTACATTATATCACGTTTTTGCTGGATTTATTGCTATTAAGAATTGCTTTTTTTAAATATCTCTTTATTCAAAAAGTAGTATTCAATGTAATTATGCAAATAATGATTTCATAGAATTTGTTTAGTTAGGTAAGATACAAGCTGATTATCCTACTGTGTTTTCTGATTTAAGAGTAAATTATTGCCATTGTAATTACTTGATCACTTTGTTTTAAATAACCATTGTAACTCCTCTGAAAATGCTGTGTAACTGTTTCTATTCAATTAGATACTATTCTGAGCATCAAAAATGAAAATAATATTCATTTTAATAATAGTATTAAAGCATTATCAGTTATCATTTGTATTAAATTATTCTAAAAGACTAAACATTCCTGAAAAAGTATTGGAAAACAATGACCTGGTCTCAATCAGAGTTTTCATCCCATTTCATTTGATTGATTGAGGAAATGTTGACATGATCCCTTGGTTTGCTTGTTGTTTACAATCTTTTATAGTGTTTCCTTGAGCTCTGCTGTTTTTCTTTCATGTGAGAGGAGTGAGGAATTTGGATAATTTACCAGCAATACTATTAAATAAAAACTGTAATTTGCTGATGCAATTACTTTCTGTTTCGGAATGAATATGTGTGGTTATCACATATTCTCAAAACATTAGTAGCTAAGAAGTATATTAAAAGAGAGGATAGGAATTTCCGGGCTCAAGAGAAAAACATGTACAGATTGTACTTCTCTCACATACATCACATAATTCTTTAAAATGTTTTTAATCCTAAATAAATTTATAAAATGAAAATTATTCACTTATTTCCTCTTTCAGTGGCTGCAGCCAATCCTTTCTGGAAAGCCTCCAAAAGAAGAAAGAGTAGCATTTTTTAAAAAACAGATGATTGATACTCTGGACAATGTGGAAAACATTTGGTTGAAAGACAAGTTGTACCTGACTGGGGAAAAGATCAGTGTAGCAGACCTGCTAGGTACCTGTGAAATAGAGCAAACAAGTGAGTTGTACTTTGTCAGATACAACAAAAAAATTTAGTCACAAAGTAATAAATTGTATCATAAACAATCTTGAGTTCCTGAAGTACCGTAATATGGTGAAATTAATAATAAGTAAATCTTGTGAATGAGTTGATTATTTGTAATTTCAAAGCAAAATTTAAGGATCCAAGTTAGTGGCTAGCATACAACATAATGTTCTGTTGTGAAGGACGAATTCATACTTTTCATTGCCTATAAAATTTGAATTTTAAGGAATTTGTATATTTGCATACATTCTTAGAATTGTGTGGAAGGCACCTCCATTCCTTCATGTGCATTTGTCAGATCTGCATAGGGTGACCATATTATTTCTGTTATTTCCACACCACTTAGAGTTGTCACCTTTCTAAAGCAAAATTTTGCCTGGTCCTCTATTGACTTGGGGAGGGGGGTGTTGAATTTTGAGATGAAACAGAAATCAAAAAACAAAAACAAAATGACAGCATTGTATATAATACAATATACAATGTTTACATAAAAATTACTTTGCCAATGCACAAAGTTTTTTCAGATGCCTGTCTCAAATCAAAATAGCTAGTAAGTCTGGCTGAAATCTGACTAGGAGGCAACCCTAACAATTGCATATGTATTATTAAAATAGATGCTTATTGAGAAACCAATGAAGCACAATTAGAAAAATATTTCAAACGTTCATTTATGAAGAATGAAGTAAAAATACTACAGAAACAAAATCTCTCATTTGTTTAATTTTGATGACTTGACATCCACATCATCTTTGATATCTTGTTATGGCCACTTACATCTTTGCAAACAAGAGTTTTATTTTATTTTATAAACTTAGATGTCCAATTGTACAGAAAGATAAGATAGTATATAAAACCTGTGAGTCGATTTGGTAACAGAAAATAAATGTTTACTCATACAGTAACACATTCTCTGATAAATTTTATTCTGGCAGGTTCCCATACATTACAACTCGTATTACTGAACTATTGTTCATCAACTTACATATTCTCAAGATAGGATTATTCATTGTGTAACTGAAAGTATAAGTTGGTAACATATTGCTTATTCTTGGCACCTTGGTAAAAACTTAAAAATTCAATTTAAAGTAAGCAGCCAACTTTACAATGAATTAATTTGTATAAAAAGATCAATTAATTGTAGCCTTTGATTTGATTCCTAATTAACACTGGTTAATACACAAAATCTAATGGAAATGAAATTAGCTAATTTGAACTAATTCAGGGTGTCTGAATTCAAAGATTATGTTGAAATGCCCTGGTTGTTGCATCACACCTATCGCTTGACCTCAAATTAGGAAGTTTTCCTTTAAATATTGGGTCAAACTGAAAATGATTTTCACATTTAGTAAAGACTTTGATTGTCTGATGGGTCTGATTCATCTATGGGTTTCCTTCCATCCTTGTGTACTCTCATATAAGAAATTCAAATATGCTAATATGTAGTAGATTATATAAATTTATTATACTCCATTGGGAAGTTTGTGGAGATACCCGTTTTATTTGGTTGTCAAATAAGTACACGAAATAATGTTTTCAAGCGATTATTCAATTCATTCCTGGTTTACATTAATAAAATTTATAATGAAATTTTAATTTCTATTTCAAAAGTATTGTAATTTTTCAGGAATGGCAGGATATGACCCATGTGAAGGGCGTCCTGCTCTTCGTGCTTGGATGGAGAGAGTTAAAAAAGAAGCTCATCCTTTTTATGAAGAAGCTCATTCTAGGCTCTACAGAATTGCACAGAAGCACAAAGGAGAACCACCCGTTTCTCTTTCGAAATTGTGAACGAAGAAAATAAATACATTAGGCAACTTAATAAGACTTTTATATTAGCCAGGCAGGTTGTTAGGGTGGAATTATTGTTATTTTTACATATATTTTTTTAATAAATGTATATGATTTTTTTAATAAATATATTCTGTACAGATTTTGCTGTTAATGGCAACAGTGAGAAAATTGCTCTAAAAAATACATTAAAGTACTATTTTTTATTCTTATGTACGTTTATGATTCTACATTGAAAATACTCCAGATATTTTCCCACATGTGCCACATACTACTATATTGATATAGTAACTACTGTTGCCACGATTTGGCCCAAACTGGCAAAATTGGTATTGCAATGAATCTTTCAGTAATTTTTCTGTTGTGGCTGTATTCAATGATCAAATATGATTTTCTCTGAATAAAAAGTTCAGATGCACACAGACTGAACAAAGGAGAAGGAACACTTTTAATCATGGAAAAGTTAGTAAATTTATTAGAGAAAGGACATTCAAGATTCAAACACACTATTGCTTCTTAATTTTTGTTTGCAACATTAAATATATGAAAAACAACTTATGAAAAGTAATGATGTTGTGGAAGACATTGGAAAGTACAAAAGACACTGATAAAGTACTTGTGCAAACAAATTACTTTAACTTATTATTAGGAAACACTGAAGCTATACTCCTTTTTTTTTTCTTCTAAATTTAAAATACTACAAATAATAAACAAGTTAATGTGTTCAAGAATGGAATCCTGTGTTAGACAATGAAAGAGTTATTTTATGTTTAATAATCTTAATGGTCGTGATGTTGGCCTGTTTTACTAATAGTGTGACCTATTTGACTTCAAGCTCTCTATTAAATGCTATTGAAATGTCAATTTCTATCTGTTCCCAACGACAGACAGACAGACATACACACAACTTATGCCTATAGGAAGCAATTGAGAGTGTTTGAATCCTAACAAGTTGAATTTCCTTGTATCTACATGTCCTAATAAGTTGAATAATCTTGTTTATAAAAATATTGCATAATGGTCTGAAGCAAATGATGTGCCTTCAATTGGCGATAGTTCAAGCTTAAAGTACGTTAACAAGATATTATTAAATCAATACAGCATGAGCAAATACTACAAGTTATGTATTTGCAATCAAAATTTCAAATTTTTAAATGAATTTATTATTCTATATTAAAAAATTGGTCAATGGTCAGCTAATCAGATGCTAGTTTAGACTAGGTAATTTTTGCCTACAGATGTGCTGAAAGTGGTGTGCAATATTTCTATGTACTGGTTACTGGTACCTGAGATTTGATTAGTGAAGTGGCATGAAAGAAGAAGTGAAAGTTAAATCTTGATTACACACTCATGGAATCCTGTAACCATCCAAATATTCAAGATGGATGAATCTTGGGAGCAAATTTTTTAACCCAAACTATTCAAAATTAATGTCGAGGCAATGAAGAAATCACTATTATTGGAGGTCAGGGTCAAAGAACGGTTGTTGGCTGCCCCTTTCATTATAATTTTAGAAATATATGGCACCCAATTCTCTACAAATAAGCTCCAATTAGTACTCAAAAAATTGTCATTAATCACAAAAAGTCGCTTATGACGCTGCAAATGAGAGTCATATTAGGAAATATGCTTGTTTAAAAAGCATGGTCTACTTTAAATTGTCAATCACTGCTAAATAATTTTATCCTGTAAGAATATCTCTCACCCTCTGGTAAAATAAGACACAATGATTTTCTTAAATCTTCTATTCCTTTTTTAATACTTAAAGAAAAATAACAGTCCATATTAATCAAAATTTTAATTACGGTGCACACCTTATATTTCATTCTATCATTATTCACTGAAGTACTTTATGCTTGTCACAGCTATGGTTATTATTTCATGAATTCCCTATAAAGATTGCTGTTTTATTACTTTAATTTGTTGCAGGAATGAAGATGAGATAAAATTTTTAAAACTACTTTAAGTTGAATGGCTGCTCTACATTGGAATTACACCTGTTTTTCAATGACTACCTTATTTGTATACACCAGATTTTATAAAAGTTTCATATTCACTTTCCGTCATAAGCCTATTTAATTCATCTGGCTTGGTTAATTCTACTTTAAACAGCCAGCCTTTATCATAACAACTGCTGTTAATAAGTCTGGGTGTATGTTCCACAGAAGCATTTTTGTCGATCACTTTTCCAGAAACAGGGCAGAATATTTCACTTGCAGCTTTCACACTTTCAAGAGCTCCGCACGTAACTTCTTTTTCCAAGACCGTTCCCACATCTGGAAGCTGAGCAAAATCAATTTCGCCTAATGATTTCTGGGCATGATGCGATATACCCACAGTTCCAATGTTCTCATTAACTGATATCCATTCGTGTTTATCGGTGAACCGACGACTGCCAGACAAACAATTAATAGATATTGAAATGTAACGGATTACATTTCCTTGCCATCTCGCAACAAAACAGCGAGAAATTCTTACTACTGAAGAATAATGCAATCCTCGCAGAGATCTCATTGCTCAGCGAAATATTCAAATCGCATTCAGTGATTCAACTGACGGAGTATACGTCATGCCCAAGCCCTGTAAAACATTTTGAACTTATCCTGTTTTTAGATACTGTCAAAACCAGTGAGCTGGGTACAAATTGAAACACGTTCTCCGCTGAGTAGGCCGTGCCTTCGGCCGCCATATTGCGGCTGGGCAAGACGAGGATGTTAGAAATATTTTAAAGGCAAGACACAAGCATAGTACACACGTCTACTATGAAGATCAGTACGCTTACCGCAAGAACTTTATCACTTTCTGACGTAAAAATTCTGCAATTATCGTAAGTTGTGACCAAGGAAGTTAAATTAATCTAATATTCGTTATCTTCAGGTATCAAAAAATGCTGTCCCTTCTAATTTAATCAGGAGTTTTCAAGAAGTGGGTTTTTAAAGCATTACCTTACTCTTATTGTCAATCTCAATGCTATTTCCTTATTCTGAAAACGGAATTTATCTGCTTCATACAGACTTCGAACATTCCCTGTATCCAGAAGTACCTCCTCCTCCTCCAATATTGCAAGTCTGGAGATTCTTCGCACCCCTAACCCATTTAATGGACGCCGATATTTAGGGTCATTATTATTTTAGCTTGCCATAAAGAAAAGTAGGTGGAAGGGGACTTCCTCGGGTTTAATAATGCGACATTTTCCTGCTTGCCATTCGCATCGCAGTCCTGTGGCCGCTATATGCATTATTTGCACGTCGTCCACGAATAGCCGGATAAAGCTGCTTCAAGATCCTTCCTCGGCCCCTCCATTCAGTACTGGGATAATCTACTATGATTTCTGCTGCCTGCCGACAGCAGAGAGTATATTTCCGACAGTTTGTGTGTGGTGGTGGTGGTGGTGGGGGGGGGGTGTACCCTTCCCCTGCATCCGAAGTTGCAGTCACTTAAATTAACCACTGGCGGTTGCAGCCACAGAACAATAAAGGTTGCAGCTGCATCGAATGACGGGAATATAACTTCCAAAATTCAGAACATTAATATTAATGTAAATTAATTAAACCTAAGTTAAATAAGTTTATATTCAAACATTACTTACATATTTTTTTTGCGTAATGTCCGTATCAAGTATGTTGTCCTCCCGCTTACATGGTTCTTGCTATTATTCAGTGGCGGCTCATGCTTAGGTTGCCCAAGGTAATCTCAAAAGATCTTACAATATATTAGGAATATACTTTTTCCTTTTAATGAATTCAATATTGGAGTAATATCGATGTATATGACATCATTTTGAAACCAAAGAGCGCCCAACTAGCGCTCTTCGGCGTCTGGTTTTCTCCCAGGAATTGCATGTTACGCACTTGGTTCTATTAATAGACATAATACTAGACTAACAACTGTAGTGTGTTTTGTAATTCAACTTAAACTTTAATACATTCTTTTTTCGTTCTGACTTTTCATTATTTTCCAAGCCAATATTTCATAGAAGCATGGATTAACTCCATTAGAAGGGTGAAGTAGCCATTGAATTTGAAAACTTCAAGAAGTCACGAACCTCTAAGGCACAACTACAAAGTATATAAATAAGACCGCCCTTGGAATGCACACACTAAGAGAAGTGTTATAGTTCAATGCACTGAACATATTAGTAAGCATTCTTATACTCAATTCAATTATTCGTGTGGTAGGATTCACAAAAAATTATTAAGTTTCATTTGGTAAGTTGAACAATTCAAAATCATAAGTGAAAGTTAAAATGTGGAGAAGAGACTCCAGAAGTCAAGAAAAAGTGCCCAGATTGAGCTTCTCCCCCATACGTCACATATAGTTTTTTCAGTTCATTGACAAAAATAAATCATTAAATCAAAATCAAATCGGCTTTATCTATTTGCTCACAATTTTTTGTCAAGAAGATACGGATTTAAGAAGTCAATAATGAAGACTAAGTTGGCCTTACACTAGAAATGCGTTTCCGGAATATCTTTCAGCAATTTGTTTCTGTTTCATGCGGTCATCTTTACACTAGCAAGAGCAAGGAGGGGCAATATATTGTCAGAAATATCTGAGCAAGATCTTATCGGTAAGATATTGCCTATAATTTTACATTAGGACTTTTTGTTGCTGTGTTTGGTGATGGAGGAAAATAACTTAAGTGAGGTTATACCACACTCACGTATACTGTGGTTACATCTCACTTTTATCGACGTCGTGAGTGGAAGGCGGCAGATGCGAGTCGCTGTTGCACGTATGGTTCGAAATGAAGAGATGAACAAATGCCGACGATTGGTGGGGACGCGTGACTGGATTTTAGGAAGAAAGGAAAGGAGGCTTATGCATTTTTGGTATATGAGTCTCAACATTTTACATATAACAAAATGTTTCCGTAGACTTCACTACAATTCACGTGGGAGCAAAGTAATTTTCTGCTTATAAAAAGTTTTAAAACCTCCATTACCTACTATTGATTTATTGTAGATTAATCTTAAAATTGATTTAGATTAGTATTATATAATTTCTAACGTAAAAAATTAATTACCAAGGGCATCTATAGCGGAACCAAAATGTGAACCATTCGATAATCAACCATAGAGGGCTGACAATATTTATTACTACTTTTATTGCATTAAACCTTTAACACACCTTGACAATGGTTATATTTGAATAAAATGCTAATTTCAATTTATTTTCGATTTTTAATAAACGAAGTGGAATCCTAGCAGGATACCATGTATTTAGTAACATTCGTTTATGAACAACAAAGCACACTCAATCCTACTCCTCTGCTTTAAAAAATAAAAATCATTGTTAAGAAAAGGCATATGGCAGGCTAAAATCATGAAACATGACCAGGATATTTTGAACTCAATAAAACAAAAGCAATGTGGAATATAGTAAAAAATTCGACCAAATCAGCTAGAAGCCTTGTAGAGAATGTTTTAAAAGATAACGATAGAAATATCAACGATTCGGCGGCAACAGTGGCTAGCCTCTTTAACCAATACTTTTCGAGAATTGCTGCCGATCTCAGTAAGGGTCTTCAGCCACAAAATTCAGCATCACACGTTTCCCCAAAAATTTCAGGCAAGATGTTTGTTTCCAAAACTTCTTCCTACGAAATTCTCAAAATAATCGGTAGACTAAAAAATAAATATTCGACCAGTTTAGATGAATTTCTGTTTGTTAAAGATTTGCGCGCCCACCATTATACACCCGTTAACTCGCATATTTAATGTATTCTTTTGCCAGATATTTTTAAAACAGCTTAGATTTAGCCGCTTTTCAAAAAGGCAACAGAAATGAAATTCAAAATTATCGGCCAATTTCTCTTTTGTCTGTTTTTCAAAAATATTAGAAAGACTTTTTTTACATACGAATGGAAACTATTCTTAGTAAACACGAGTTTTCAGATTGCCAACATGGGTTTCGAAAATCAAAATCTACGGACAGCCATATTTTCTTTTTTTTTTTGTTTTTGAAGATGCCGCCTCATCCATGGATATGAACGAAGCACCTATTGGAATATTTCTAGAGCTTTCAAAAGCTTTTGACGTCATTGATCATAAAATTTTACTCTCAAAATTACCTTCGAATGGAATACGTGGTGTTGCTCTAGATTGGTAATGTTCGTACCTTAAACAACGATCTCAGAGAGTATCTGAAATACCGGGATCGATTTTAGGCCCTATTCTCTTCCTACTATACGTAAACGATATGCCCTCGACGATTAGTAACGGAAGAACAGTCTTTGTGGACGATACGAATATTATTTGCAATAAAGAAACCGTAAATAGTACAATATCAGATATTTCAAATTGGTTTCGTAATAACAAATTAATAGTAAATGAAAAGAAAACTGTTTCAATTCAGTTCTCTATTTCTAATAAACAGCTTGACACTTTACTGAAAATGAATGGCGTGCCATTGACTGATGTTAGGGTAACAAAATTTCAATTCAATTCAGTCAGACCTTAAATGGAACGTCCATTTAAATGAATTGATCACTAAATTAAGTTCTTTATGCTATGCTTTCAGAATTCTTTTAAATTCAGTTAGCCTCCACACTGGTCGTTGTTTATATTTCGCGAATGTTCATTCCCACCTGAGATATAGCATAATATACTGGGGAAATACATCTTATAGCTCCCAGACTTTTAGATTACAAAAAAGAATTGTACGAATAAGCAAATCCCACCCACGTGATTCTTGTAAACATATCTTTATTAATCTAGGTATTTTACCATTATCGTGTCTCTTAACATATGAATCAGGTTTTTTTTGTCAAAAATTACTTACTTAAGGGCGGGAATATAATTTCAGCAAACACCGTTGTCTTTAACTACAACACTCGACGTAGTAATCACATTCATCAGGTAACAGTATCACAGCTCACTACAAAAAAATCACATATAATACATGTACATTATTTTACAACACCTTGCCAGATGACATTAAACGATTAAATTCGACACAAAAATTTAAGTCCCAAGTAAAATATTTTCTGCTGCACAACTGTTCTATACAATTAGAGACTATACTCTGCATCCAAAAGGAAAGTAATATTAATTTTTAAAATGACATTCAATGTATTGTATATCATCGATTGTATAATTGTAAAGAACCTGTAACAAGTATTGTACTTCAGCTTCTGAGCCAATGACCCCATCTCGATCAGGTTTTCGTCCAGTTTCCCTGACCCTCGAGCAAATGCTGAGATGGCCCTTTGTTTTGCTTCTGGACATAAATGTAACTTCAAATTAATTTCTCCCCATAGCACGTCATACACAGTTTTTAACTGTTTTTGACGTAAATAAATAAGTACTCACCACCCCTTGCAAGGCCAACCCAGAGATATCCCACCCCGAGGATTCTTCGAGCTCTGCCACTAAGCAGAGTTGTTGGTCTCCGGCATCGGAGATCGATCACCGGTGAGTCCGCGAGTATCAACGCCAAAGAGAATTATTTCGAGTGAGTGATCTTAGAGGTTTAGTTATGGCACGCCTGTCTCTTGCGAGACTCTTCATCCAGCTTTTGTTTTCTTTCCGTGGGTTGTTCTTAAGTTGCGACTCCTCTCCCCCGTACAGGGACGGGATTGGGTCGGGAGAGAGAACTGAGGTAGTTTTATTTTAAAGGGGTTTGTCGTAGGGGAGGGATTAGGGAAGGAGTGGGATAGGGAGTAGGAAGGATGGGAGTAAGTAAAAGTCATTCTTTGGTCATCGTGGGTCAGTGTTTTGTCGTGCTTTTCGTCGTTAGTCGGCTTGTTCTGTGTCCGCCTTTGGCCTAGGTAATCGGGAGGGGGGAGTTGCAGGATGAATGAG